TGTCTTCACTTTAGGACATGTGTCATAGGCAAGTCACCCACACAGCCATTCATGGTGTTGGGTTGTGTGGGTGTGTGCATGTGTGTTTGCAAGATAGATTTACTTTATCTTTTGATTGTAAAAGAATGCATGTCAGTTGTCTAGATAATGCAAGATGCATAGCTTAGAAACTGAAGACACTTCGCCCCCTTTTCACTTGAGTGGGGTTATTTTTATTTTTACTTTATTTATTATAATTATTTTTGCCCCACCATGCAGCATGTGGGATCTTAGTTCTCTGACTAGGGATCAAACCCACACCCCCTGCATCCCCGAAACGGAAGCTTGGAGCCTTAACCACTGGACCGCCAGGAGAGTCCCTGCGTGCGTGCGTGCTCAGTTGCTCCAGTTGTGTCCAGTTCTTTTTGACCCCATGGACTGTAGCCCACCAGGCTCCTCTGTCCATGGGATTCTCCAGGCAAGAACACTGAGTGGGGTGCCATGCCCTCCTCCAGGGGATCTTCCCATTCCACGGATGGAGACTGCATCTCCTCTGTCTTCTGCATTGGCAGGCGGGTTCATTACCACTAATGCCACTTGGGAAGCCCAGGATAGTCCCTAGTTATCTTTAATTTACCCCGGCCCAGGACATGTTCCACATCAGTGAATGAGGCCTGTTGGTCCTCTCAGGGACAGCCAGGTGCATTTCTCCTTAAGGAAATCATCCACTCATTCAGTGGCTGTTTTGAGCACCCACTAGGTGCCACGTGCTGGAGAAGCAGCCGTGAGGGAGACAGCTGAGACTCTTGTGGCCTCGCTGTCTGTCTCTGACTAGCTGTGTTTTCCCTGACTGCCTCTCTTACTCAGTTGCCTCTGGCTTCAATGAGGGGCTGCAGCTGCCCTCCTGGGTTTCCCACATCCATAGGGAAGGGCTATGTGTATGACCCAGGATGAAGAACAGGGTTGGGAGTGTGCTGTCCTGCTGCTGAACCTTGGCAGAGGCTCCAGACAATCCGATGCTCCCCTCCGGTCCTGAAAGGCCCTGTTTCAGGTGGCCTGTGCTCAGCTGAGGGTCTGTCTTGGTGGGCACAGTACCCTGGCAGAGCCGGCAAGCATCTTGAGAGCACGGGCAAGGTGGCTCCTCTGGTCTTTCCTGATGGATGCCTGAGCCAGCTGGGCATCCTGGGTGCTCTCAGCACATGTCTGTTGAACAGGTGGCATGGCTGAGAGAGGAGGATTGTGGAAGGCCAGGGAGCAGAGCAGTGAGGTCAGCAGTCAGGGTAGGAGGGGGCGAGAGATTTCTGTGTGGAACCCACTCCCCTCACGGGGTTCATGGGGAAGAGAGGCCAGGGCATGGGTGGCGGAAGAAGGCTCATCAGGAAACCCACAGGGCCCAGGGGCTGGGTATGGCCTTGCCAAGTGGGGAGCTCCACAGAACCCCAAGAGTTGGCATGGGTGCCAGGAAAACAGGAGGGATTCACAGAAGGCACGATGTGCTTGTCCCTTGTGCCCAAGCAGGCTCAAACTGTATTCATCAGCTTTTTCTTTTCACTTTTATTAACACATGTATCTTGGTTGTGTTGGTGGTGGTAAAGAACCTGCCTGCCTGCAGATGCAGGTTCAGTCCCTGGGTTGGGAAGATCCCTGGAGGAGGGATGGCAACCCATTCCAGTATTCTTGCCTGGAGAATCCCATGGACAGAGGAGCCTGGCTGGCTACAGTCCATAGGGTCGCACAGAGTCAAACATGATTAAAGCAAGAGCATGAGCACTTGGTTAAACATAAAAATCGTACCTCCTTTAATATTGTGAAATGATTCAAAATTCAGAAAACTAAGATCATGGCATCTGGTCCCATCATTTCATGGCAAATAGATGGGGAAACAGTGGAAACAGTGACAGACTATTTTTGGGTGCTCCAAAAGCACTGCAGATTTTGACTGCAGCCATGAAATTAAAAGACGCTTACTCCTTGGAAGAAAAGTTCTGACCAACCTAGATAGCATATTAAAAAGCAGAGACATTACTTTGCCAACAAAGGTCCGTCTAGTCAAAACTATGGCTTTTTCCACTAGTCATGTATGGATGTGAGAGTTGGACCATAAAGAAAGCTGAGTGCCGAAGAACTGGTGCTTTTGAACTGTGGTGTTGGAGAAGACTCTTGAGAGTCCCTTGGACAGCAAGGAGATCCAACCAGTCAATCTTAAAGGAAATTATTCCTGAATATTCATTGGAAGGACTGATGTTGAAGCTGAAACTCCAATATTTTGGCCACCTGATGCAAAGAACTGATTCATTTGAAAAGACCCTGATGCTGGGAAAGATTGAAGGCGGGAGAAGAAGGGGACGACAAGAGGATGAAGTGGTTGGATGGCATCACTGACTCAATGGACATGAGTTTGAGTAAGCTTCAGGAGTTGGTGATGGACAGGCGTGCTGCAGTCCATGGGGTCACAAAGATTCAGACACGACTGACCGACTGAACTGAACTGAACTATTCAAAATAAATGTTTGAATTCCAATGGGGGGAAATGCTACTTTATTGAAACTGTTGTTTGGTTTGTTGTTTAGTCACTTCAGTCTTGTCTGACTCTTCTGCGACCCTGTGGACTGTAGCCTGCCAGGCTCCTCTGTCCTTGGGATTCTCTGGGCAATACTGGAGTGGGTTGCCATTTCCTTCTCCAGGGGATCTTCCTGACCCAGGGATTATTGAAATTACCCTCCTCCTAATTTGATGTCATATTTCTCACCTTTAGAAGCAAACCCTGACAGGTTTGGGCTGAGGTTAGTAGTTTTTTGTAGTTAGTATGAGGAACAGACAGAAACAGCTATGATAGGATCAAGTCTCTAATGAATCTACCTCCTGAGGTTCTGCAAAGGGCCCTCACAGACGATCTCAAGAGATCCAGGAGTCACCTTCATTCAAGGCCTGGAGGACTGGGTTTCTCTCTTTTCTTACCAAGTTCTGCTTTCCCCAGGGAGCCCACCCTGAAAGGGCTGGCTGTCCTCAGCAACTCCCGCCCCCCTCCCTCCACATAGTTACTTGTATTTCAAAACAACTTATCTCCCTTCTTTCCCTTTATCTAAATTCCTAAAGCCTGTGATTGGTCTTGACTTTTTGTCAAATCCGGGGAAAGTAATTTATACTCTGGTGTAAGAGACTGATAGACTTAACCAGTCAAAGGAGCATCTGCGTTCTTAACAGCGTTCCTACATTCAAAGAACGCCTCAAACAGGTGGAATGTGCACAAACGATCGTTTTGAAGCCGGGTCTCTCCCAATTCCACGTGCCTCCTGGGCCACTCCCACCCTCTTCCTTGAAGAATCGGGCTCAGTTGCGGGCCCTTCTGCGGCAAGCTCAGGCCGGCGTTTGGGCTGCCAGAGTGGGCGGGGACACAGGCCTGGCGCGCCGGGCAGGGGAGTCGTCCCCAAACCCCAGCCCCCGCCTCTCCGAGCCCGGAAGGAAGTCGCGGCAGAGGAGGGGGCGCCCGGGATGCCCCGAGTGTGCCTCACCTGCGAGAGGGCACGTCCCGGGCTTTTATCTTCCGAGACCCGGCCTGCGGGGGGAAGGCCCTGATTAGCCCATCCTTCCTGCCACCGCCCACCCCGAGCTTCCACGCAGCGATCGCCGCCCGGTGCCGGAGCGTGGGGCCTCGGGGGCCCCTGCAACTCGCCCCCGCGCTCCTCCTCCTGCCCCCGCTCCGGGTTCGGGTCCCTAGCGGAGCGCCTCCCCCCGGCACCTCCCCTACCCCCCAACCCCCGCCCCAGCTCCGGACCCGCTCGCCTAGAGGGCGGCGACTGCAGGGAAGGAGGGGCGCCGCCCGCCTCCCGGGGCCTGGAGCGCGCGTGGCCCCGGAGCCGCCAGCGCCGCGCGGGGACTCACTGTGCCGCGCGCCCGGGCTCGGCTGGCTCCGCTCGGCGTGCGGGCGGGGCAGAGGATGCTGGCGGGCTTCCCCGGCCTCGGCCCGCGCTCCCGCCGCCAAGGGCCCCGGGTGCGCCCCTAGCAGCGCTGCCGCCGCCGCCACCGCTACCACTGCGGGGCCAGAGGGAGGGCGCCGGCCCCGAGAGCCGCAGCCCAAGAGGCTGGCGCCCCCGAATTTTCCAGCCGCCGCCGCCGCCGCCGCCTCCCCCTTTCTCCAGCGGCCGGGCGCCTGTGGATGCTGAAGGGCAGCCCTGCGCCTTTCCCGGCCTGACGGCGGGAGGGTCGCGCCCGTGCCGGGGGACCGGGGACCGCGGCGCTAGCGGGTCGGCGCGGCTCGGCGGGGAGCAGCCCCCGGGCGCGCCGAGCCCTCCTGTCCCCTCCCGCTGCACGCGTGACCCGGCCTCGCAGCCCGCGAGGGGACTGGTCCGGGCCACGCGGCTCTCGAGTTCCCGCACAGGTAAGCGCAGGGGCAGGGCCTGCCTTCCGGAGGTCAGACCGTGCCCGGAGATGGGTAGCCCCAGGGGCCAAAGGGCTGGCTGGGAAGGGAAGTAAGCAGAGAAAGATTCAGGAACCCCCCAGGCTGGCGCTGGTTTCTTGAAGCATGTTTTATCCTCACATTCTAAGACTTGGGCCTGGAGGCGACTTAGATGAGGAGATCGTGGGGTGAGAGAGACTGAGATGACGCGGAGAGAGACCAGGGATGGGTGGAGAGGTAGCCAGGCCCGTCCACAGCCGGAGACAGGAAGCAGAGTGTTTGGGTGGACAAGACTAAGTATGTGTGTGGTCGGGTGGTGGCCGTGAGCGTTGGGGTGGCGGGAGAAAGGCCTCGGTTTTGGAGCCTCTGGCAGCAAGGATTCTTCCAGGAGGGCTGGGGCAGGTCGTGGAGAAAGCTCGGGTAGGAAGGAAGAGGGGCTTCTACTTACTGATGTCCTTTTAAGTTCCAGATGGTCAGCGCTCCCTGGGTCCTGGAATCCCGCTCTGCGTTCCTGCCCGAAGTGGCCCCAGGGCTCCTAGAGTCCCGGTCGGTGGCCGGTGCCAGAGCGCTCCCTCTGCTCTCCGGCCGGCTTCTCCGGAGCCAGTAGAAGCAGATACCAGCCAGGATGCCGAGGACCCAGGGCTTCTCCGAGCCCGAGTACTCGGCGGAGTACTCGGCCGAGTACTCTGTCAGCTTGCCTTCGGACCCTGACCGCGGGGTGGGCCGCACCCATGAAATCTCTGTCCGGAACTCGGGGTCGTGCCTCTGCTTGCCTCGCTTCATGCGGCTGACCTTCGTACCAGAGTCCTTGGAGAACCTGTACCAGACCTACTTCAAGAGGCAGCGCCATGAGACCCTGCTGGTTCTGGTGGTCTTCGCGGCCCTCTTCGACTGCTATGTGGTGGTCATGTGCGCCGTGGTCTTCTCTGGCGACAAGCTGGCCCCCCTCGCCGTGGCTGGGGTCGGGCTGGTGTTGGACATCATCCTCTTCGTGCTCTGCAAAAAGGGGCTGCTCCCCAACCGGGTCACTCGGAGAGTGGTCCCCTACCTGCTGTGGCTGCTGATATCAGCCCAGGTCTTCTCCTACCTAGGCCTGAACTTCTCCCGTGCCCACGCGGCCAGCGACACGGTGGGCTGGCAGGCCTTCTTCATCTTCTCCTTCTTCATCACGCTGCCGCTCAGCCTCAGCCCCATTGTCATCATCTCCGTGGTCTCCTGCGTCGTGCACACACTCGTCTTGGGGGTCACCGTGGCCCAGCAGCAGCAGGATGGGCTGAAGGGAGTGCAGTTGCTGAGGGAGGTGAGTCCCGCCTTTTGACCCGGCCAGTGACTTCCCTCCCCAGCGGCTCTCGGGGCTGAGGTGGTACCTGTTTCAGACAGGGGGTGGTCTGGGGCTCTCACCTACGTGTGTAGGAAGGACCACCTCTCTCTCAACCCCTGACTTCGCAGTAGCGCTGGCCTGCGGTTGACTTGAGAGATCAGAGGGTTTCTGGACACTGGCCACTCTGTCAACCCACGCCCAGCCTGAGTGGGTGGCCGGAAGGGCCTGGGCCTGATCTCAAGCGAGGCAGCCTTGTCTTTGTCATTGACCCCTGCCAGGAAGGACTGTCATGGGGAAAGAGGGCTCTCCTGCTTATGACCTTTTCACTTGGCATTGAGTGGCTTCAGCAAGAGGCTGACTGTGTGGACTCTGTGCCTCTGCCCAGTGGGGACGGTGTTTGCCTGCCGAAAGCAGTTGTTATCAAGATGAAAGGTTGTGGGTGACCTCAAAGAACGAGATGTGAAGGGCTGTGTGGTTGTCATAGATCCCACTTCTGCTGCTGAGAGCTCAGGGTGCTTGAGTGCTCAGATGATAGAGGGAGTGGTGGTCTCCCCGTGGGAGCCATGGTGCAGGGATGCAAACGGGGACAGGGTAGCCAGCCACAGTGAGGGAAGGTCTGCTGGTTCTGGAGGAAGCCTTCTGCTGGAAGGGGCGCAAGTTTGGCTTCAACTTAACAGATAGTCTGTGCTCCCCACTGGGTGCCAAGACCCTGGGTAGGTGCTGAGGGGCTGCGGAGATGTGATGCTTGGCCTTCTGAGCTGGGTCACCTATAGGGCAATGGGGGTTCCATAGGGCTGAGAGTCTATGAATTCCACAGCTGTGTATCCTACTCACTACCTTTTCCTCATTTTGTGTATGAGCCCAGAGATAGAGTGACCTCTCTTAGTCCACACAGCTAGGTATGGCAGTGGGTAGCTGGAATGTCCGTGTCCAGATTCCCATTTCAGGGCTCTTCCTTCTATGTCACACCACTGCCCCCGTCTCAGCCAGAGTCTCCTGGGATGGGGGGCTGAGTCTCCAGGGGCGCAGCAGTGCCGGTGGGCGATGCAAGCACCCTGTGGGGCTGCCCCATTGGCCTCCCGCTTGGTTAGAGGAAAACACAGGTTTTTTTTTTCCTCTGTTTTAACTTTCTCCCCGGTTCTTGGACCAAGATTCTTCCTGTTTTCCCATTCTGGCTCATGCAGTGTCATCTCACAGAAGCTTTGTGCCTTGGTTCTGCAAGGGCCTGGCCCTGGGCTGGTGTACATGGATTCAGGTAGGCACACTGGAAGGTCCCTTTTCCTCCCAAGGCCCTGTTCATAGAAGGGTGACAGCCTGCCATACCCCTAATGGCTTCCGAGTTGGCGAACTTCAAGTTGTGCCCCTGCCAGCTGAGGGCCCTGCTGGAAGCTATCTGGGCAAGAATGGTGAGAGACATTCCTTTTGGGAATCAGTGAAAAGCACAGCTTGCGGGCAGATCAGTGGGCATAGCAGCCCGTGGGGCCTGGGATCAAACTCGGAACCCTTTCCTTTTTCTAAACAGTCACTTCTAGCTCTTTCCTCTTTGCTGGGGTCCCTGGACCCCATGAATTTCCAGTATGCTTTGCTGCCCATGAAGGAGGCAAATCAGACATTCTCCACATTGGAGCCCAGAGGGTGAACGCTTGATTGCTGATGTCTTTGGGGCGCTGCTAAGAAACAGAAACTCCAAAAGATTAGGAAACAGGAAAAAAAAAAAAAGATAGAAAAATAAGTAAATCAAGAATAGCAGTTGTTAGTATCCCAGGAGAGCATAACCTTGACGTGGGAGCAGTGCCTTGGATGCAGCTTTGGGACTAGAAGGGGAGAGAGGGGGGCTCACAGGGTCTGTTTGGGAGCCTGAGATAGAATGCAGGAGGCCCCAGCCTTCAGTGGGCTGTGTTCCAGAAGTTTCTGAGTCACTTGTTTGGGACTAATATGACTTTTTGAAAAGGTGCCTGCATTCCCAGGCCCACCCACTGAAGTCTTAAGCCACAGGGGCCCTGCATTCAGTTTCTAGGAGCACGATGGAGCCCTGAGCGCCCTGCGGCCCCCTGCCGCTGTGGGGAGAACACCTGGGCACCCCCCCGCCCCCCAGCCTTGGGATGAAGCTCATCTGTCTGCTGCTCCCCTGGGCCCCTGAAACCCCCGAGGATGGGGTGCCGGCATAGAGGGGGGCAGGGCTGGAGGACAGGATGTGAGAACTGGGCAACCAGACCCCCCTGGCCCCCGACAGTCAGAGTAACACCAGGCACTTCCTTGCGTCGCCTTCTCCTGCCCACAGACTCCTTTTGCTTTGTCTCCTGCCATCACCTGTTGGCTCCAGCCAGGGACTCCCTCCTGGGTTGGTGGGGGACGGGGTGAACCCAGTTTCACAGTTGGAAGGAGACACTGGATTTCTGGGGCTTTATGAGTGCCAGCAGCACCAAAGGAACATTCCCTATGCCTGTGTGTACTTCCTCTGGCCCTTGATCCCCACAAACCCGTACCTGAGTCTGGGGTGGGGAGAGATAGAAGGACATGGGGGCCTTGGGGTAGCCTGAAGTATCAGCAGCAAGCCACCCAGCCTGCCCTGCCTGGCTCTTCTCATGGAGGCAGGCTGGTTGGGGCTCCAGCAGGAGCAGCTGGTGGAGTCAGGGGCTGCGGGATGGGGTGTTGCCGGGGCTTCATTTATCAGTGGGTGAGTGGCTTTGGCTGAGCAACAAGTATGGGCCTTGCAGCCTGCAGGTCTGGGACCGAAAGGAGTCAGATAATGATGTCAGAGGCTGTGGTGGAGGAGAGCACGGTGTGGGGCTGGGGGAGGGAGAAGCGTACTGGCTTTTCCCACATCTCTCCCCTTGCCTGGGTCCTGGCCCAGCTTACCTTTTACTAGCCCATCGGTGAACTGGTGAAGCAGGGAGGGAGTCAAGGGCAGGGCAGGCAGCTGCTGATGGGTGAGAACGAAGGGGAAGATGGGGCGGGAAGAAGATGCAGCCAGGATGGGGAACATTCCTGTGGCCAGTGGCTGCTCCCAAGGCCCTCTCATGTGGCCGCAGACATCTGTTAGCTTCTGAAAGGGTCCTTAAAAAATGAGTCTGGCAAATTAGGGGCAAGGAACCCCTGAGAAATATTTTACAGCTTTATTTCCTAGCAAAGAGGCTATTCAGGAGCAAAACTCTCTCATGGAATTAATAGCCTGTTAAGACCTTTATTCACAAATTAGAGCATGATGGAGCTGTGGATGTGTGATTCCTTTCACACCTACAAATTACAGAGCAGATCATCCACCTAGTGAATGCGCATTCGGCTCTGGGAGGTTGGAGGGAGCTCATGCTGCAGATGTCCTGTGTATAGGCTGGAACTCAGGTTCACATGCATCATCTCAACTGATCTTGGGTGTTACTGGCTCCATTTTACAGATAAGAAAAGTGAGGCTTGGGAGGATGAGAGAAGGGAGGAGGACTGGTAACTAGGGAGGGATCACTGGTAGGGGGGATGATGGGTGAGGGGCAGGGGGCGTCCCTGAAAGCCTCTTTTTCTCTGCAACCTCTTTCGTGTGTCCTTGGCTGTCCCCCGATGTCTTTGCTATAAGCAGCATTGAAGAACAGGGCCAAGAGGTGGGAGGCCCTAAAATATCACAGGGATCACCCCTCTGTTTCCCCCTGGGAATTGGCTGTAAGGGGAGAAGCCTGTGACAGAATGTTCCTGGTGGAAGCGTGGCCAGGAGTTCATGAGAAGTGAGTGTGGGGAGCAGGAACAGGAGCTGGATGGGGAGATGGGGAGGCATAGCCTGGGTCTTGTAGCCTCTGAGGTAGGTGTGTGTGTGTGTGTGTGTGTGTGTGTGTGTGAGAGTGTGAGACAGACAGGTATCTGTATGTGTGTGAGTGACAGACAGACAGACTGGGAGTGGGCAACAGCAACCCAGCTCTTGGCCCCTTGCAGCAGCCGAGGGGTGTGTGTGTGTCTGTGTGTGTGTGTGTGAGAGAGAGAGAGACAGACAGACAGACAGGCATGTGTGAGTGACAGACAGACAGATGGACTGAGAGTGGGTAACAGCAATCCAGCTCTTGTCCCACTGGCCCTGGGCTCTGCCCCCATCCCACAGTGGGACAGATGGCTCATCCTCCACAAGTGTGTAGAGAGGCATCATGTAGGAATTGGAATAATAAGGAAACACATAAGAAGGGACCGGGAGGCCACTGAATCCAACTGCCTGGGGGAAAGAATAGTCAGTTATTGAACATGTAAACATCTTTGCAGAAAGTTCCCTCTCAGTCCCTTCCCCTGGCTGCATTTTTCTGGGGTCTTTTCCTATCCTTTTAAGGTGAAGTCGCTCAGTCATGTCCAACCCTTTGCAACCCCATGGACTGTAGCCTGCCAGGCTTCTCTGTCCATGGGATTTCCCAGGCAAGAATACTGGAGTGGGTTGCCATTTCCTCCTCCAAGGGATCCAACCTGAGTCTCCTGCATCGGCAGGTGGGTTCTTTACCACTGAACCACCTGGGAAGCCCCAATCGGGTGCTCCAACCCTGAATAAACACTCGGCCACCCCTCTCCGAGCTGTGCCCTCATGAACACATGCACTCATGGTGATCTCCTTCCGTGGGTACCATCCTGACCGACACTCAGATTTTGAACTCAAAGGTAGCCCGCAGGTGCAGACCCAGTGACCCTGGGGATGATCAGGGTGCTCACGTTTACTGAGCTCTTGCAGTGTTTCAGGAGCATCTTCCATCAAGAGGCAGATCGTATTTTTGCTTTACAGATGAGGACACTGAAATATGTGAGTGAAAGGGCTCATCCAGGGCTACGTAGCAAGTGGAGGAGCAGGATATGAACCTGGCCAGTGGAATTCCAGAGTCCCTTCTCTTCTGCCATCATAAAAGAACCCTTTCGATCTTCCCCGAGAGTCTGTTGAGATACAGTTCCAGCAGGACTGGGTCCTCAGTCTCTTCACCCACAAGTATCAGAAGGAGCAACGTGGGGGATGAGGAGGTGTCTCT